AGCTTATATAACAATACAATATAGAAAGACAAATGCTAGAGCTAGAAAACACGTAAATATTTAGCTTATATAACAATACAATATAGAAAGACAAATGCTAGAGCTAGAAAACACGTAAATATTTAGCTTATGTAACAACTACAGTATAGAAAGACAAATGCTAGAGCTAGAAAAACGTAAATATTTAGCTTATGTGACAACTACAGTATAGAAAGACAAATGCTAGAACTAGAAAACATGTATATATTTAGCTTATGTAACAACTACAGTATAGAAAGACAAATGCTAGAGCTAGAAAACACGTAATTTTTTAGCTTATGTAACAACTACAGTATAGAAAGACAAATGCTAGAGCTAGAAAACACGTAAATATTTAGCTTATATAACAATACAATATAGAAAGACAAATGCTAGAGCTAGAAAACACGTAATTTTTTAGCTTATGTAACAACTACAGTATAGAAAGACAAATGCTAGAGCTAGAAAACACGTAAATATTTAGCTTATGTAACAACTACAGTATAGAAAGACAAATGCTAAAGCTAGAAAACACGTAAATATTTAGCTTATGTAACAACTACAGTATAGAAAGACAAATGCTAGAGCTAGAAAAAACGTAAATATTTAGCTTATGTGACAACTACAGTATAGAAAGACAAATGCTAGAGCTAGAAAACACGTAAATATTTAGCTTATGTGACAACTGTATAAAGAGACTCAAGCTAATGCTAGGAAACATGTACATATTTAGCTTATGTTACACCTACTATACAGAAAGACAAACTAATGCTAGAAAACACGTAAATATTTAGCTTATGTGACAACAAATGTATAAAAAGACACAATATAATGTTCGAGAATACGTAAATATTTAGCTTATCTGACAACTACTGTATAAAAGACACAAACTAATGCTAGAAAACACGTAAATATTTAGCTCAACTGACAACTACAGGTATAGAAAGACACAAGCTAATGCTAATGAACACGTAAATATTTAGCTTATGTGACAAATTACACTAATTGTATCTAATTTTAAATTGTTAAGATTTTGCAAATAAAAAGTTGAATATAATTGGACTTTTTAGTGAAGTTAAGTATTTATGAAAACAAGTTATTAATTCTAGCCCATTTCACACATTTCGGAAAAAAAATCAGATTATTGGTGGAAATGGAAGTATTTCAGGTTATAGTTTCGTCAGAAAAGAAGTAAGCAGATGTCTAATCGTTTACAACCAGATAAATAAACCCAGCTAATTCTTCTTATGTGCTTTATTAAACGACATTTTTATCTGTAGATGGCAGGTAATGTCATGTTTTGTTTGTTTGCTGTTAAACGCACAAGCTGCACAAAAAGCTATGTATGCTGTACTCACCGCAGGTACTGAAACCCGGTTTTTAGTGTTATAAGCCCACCGACGGGACTAATTTCATGGATTAGGGAGTTAATACAAGAGACATAAGTAGATAATACACAACTAACACTATAGAAAGTAATGACATAACGTTGTTTATTGGTATAAAAAGTACGCTATTAAAAGTTGAAAAAGATTGGTGATTAACTCATACATACATACATATGTATATATAAACACACACACACACAATTATATTTAGACAGAGAGGAAATACCTGACAAGATCCATTAGAGTGTCCTCCGTTGTTGAGAATCTCGTTGAATCCTCACTGCGAGCAATGTCATCAGGATTCCCCGCACCGGGATGAATAACTACAACTAGGATTATCCCGAGGATAATGGCTAAAACTGTTGTAAACATATAATATACTATAGCGCGAACACCGATTTTTCCGGAGAGCCTGGTATCCAGAGTTCCCAGCGCTGATACGAGACTGGAAACGATCAAAGGCAAAATAAGACATCGCAACATTCGAAGGAAAAGTTCTCCAGGGTAATTGATGTACATAATTTGTCTTGATGTCCAGTGTCCAGTGTAACGAAGTCCAAATCCGAGAGCAATGCCTAACACCACAGCCAGGATTGTCAGAATTGTAAGAAGATTTATTTTAATGCATGATAAGTACTTATTATGAGGAATTTCTTTGTTTTCTGGAATGTTCTCATTGTCCACTTTCCGGTGTATGGTTGTACTTTCATTCAATTCCATTGGATGTTTATTTCTGTGGGATCTATGGCTAGAAAAAAAAGCTAATTAAAACGAAAATGAATATTTTCCAAATATTCTAAATATTAAAAAAGGATAACTTCAAATTTAAGTTGGAAACGAAGATGAACATAAAGTGGTATTTTTTGAATAAACTTTTTAAAAATGAATAAATATATAATATTACAATCATGTTGCAATCAGTTAACTTGTTATGAATGGACGGCAACTGCCTGTTGTAGAAACACAAGTGTAGAGGACGACCTTTCGAAAGTCTCCCGCCTTTTGCCTTTAGGTAAGAGTATGTATAGTTTTGTCAGTCTTTCTAATATTCTGGTGGATTATGTAGGTTTTGTTGCTACTACGTATTCTTTGGTAGCTTGTTTAGGCACAGTATTCATGATGAAATTTAGTTGAATGGACGACAACTGCCTGTTGTAGAAACACATATGTAGAAAACGACGTTTCGAAAGTCTCCCGCCTTTTGTCTTCAGGTCAGTGTGTCAAACCAAATCAAATTCGTGGCAAGAATTTAGGTTTAAAAATCTCTCAGGTCTCAGAATTAATATCTGGGGCCTGAAAGACAACCCGGGGTGGTCATTAACTTTTGCTTCTCTTCACCCTGCACGTTGGGAGATTGGATGCCATACGAATTTGTACGGGCTAAGTTTAGATTTAAGCATGTAGAGAGAAATTTTGATGGGCGAACGGAGTTAAGGAAGATGCCGACTAAGAGCGCCGAGAAAGCCGCAGAAAGACCGTCGTTTTGAAGTTGGTATGGAACACGTGTGATTGTTTATCCATATGGCAATGACGTTAGTTGAATAGAGCAGTCGTTGTTACAGAAGGAACAGGGAGATGCAGACTGAGTGAATGCGATTTTGTATTGATAGATTGCATAGTAGAAATGTTATCAAAGTTAAGTTATTTGATAATAAACTATAACTAGTTATTCATGGTAGTTAGTCTCATGGACTTTCTAGATTAACGGCCCTTTTCAGGGGTGGGTGGGTGGGATAGAATATCTTATGCCCTGTGAAATTTTGTTGCAGGATGAAACCGGAGTGCCCGGAGCAGACTAGTGTGTGTGTCTATGTCTATGGCAGTTATTTTGGTGCAAAGTTAATAGTTTAGAGAGAAAACTATTAATCACCAAGGGTGTCCGAAGATTAGCAATCCTCCGTCACCCTGCACGAGGTTAAAGATTAAAAGTTCGTAGAATGGTCATCGTTCTAATTGGGCCAAGTGAGCGAAAGAAAAAAAAAGAATGCATATATATATATATATATACACATACATACATGTACACGTCATACTGATCTGGTGGTAGTATTGAGGCAAGTGGGCAGAAGTGAGGCGAAGGCAATAGCAGAGGCAGGTTGTATTTGCAGAAGAAGCAAGTCGAAAACGATTGTTGACAATGTATTGAAACAAACCGAAGCAAACGGGTCTAGCGGGG